CGCCATTTGGCAGTGGTTTTACATATGTATGTGTGTGTTTGTAAGAGTGCATTCGTGTTTGCATGTGTATATGTATGTGTATGGTGGCATACATAATTCAAAACGTGGCGCGCATATGTTTCGCTAGCCATTTTTTATGCTTGTAATTCGACTAAGCAAATGTGTTTGTGCGGTGCAAACTCAACTAGATATTTGTGTGTGTGTGTATGTTTCTTCCATGTGTTAACACAATATTATTCAGACGTACTTATAAAAAAATGTTGCACAAAAATATACCAAAGTCCGCGCTCCTTTTACAGCACTCGTACTCTGACATATTTTTCACACAACATGTGCCTTGATGTTAGCATGACAGGCACAAAGCTACTGACACTTACACCCACACACAGGTACACCTACACAACTATATGGAGGCCCGGAAGGGCAACTAAGTTTACTTTATAGAATTAAACCCCACTTGCGTTACTTATTATTGTTTTTGTTGCTATTGTTGACTTCGCAACATTACACATGGCTTTCCGATTTTTCTTCGCTCTCTTTCTTCCACATTCTTTATTTAAATGGATTAACAATCAAATTATACATACTTGTAAGTACTATATACTTACATATAGTTATTTTTAAGTCTTATGTTTTATTTATAAATAAAAGTTACATGACTCGTAAATTTTCAGCAAACAAACAGCAACAGCTTAGCAGTTGGATACACATACTTAGTATGTATGTATGTATGAATGTTTACTTTACAAGTATGCATTCGAAGGCCACATAGGTACATACTATGTACGTTTATTTGTAAGTATGTATGCATGTGTATAATTCCTTAATGGTAAATTGAACTCAAAATGCCTCAACCAGCAATCAAAGGGTCGATTGTGAAATAGCTATGCGAGCATATTTTCAAGGATAAGACGTTATTTATTTGTTGCTTCACTGGACAATGTTGAACATTATTTAACTGTAATTCTCCACATAAGTCATTCTTCAGCAGAAATGGCAACCATGCACAGACACCCATACAAATTCATGCAGACATTCAGACGGAATGGCGGCCAAGCGGACGTGCAGACCGACACTCAGTTATGAACATACTACTAGTTGTATATACTGTATATTGGAGCACAGTGCCAGTCAAACAATTGACCAAGACACACCCACATAAACATAACAATCAATTTGTTGCGCGTACACACACACACACACACACACACACACACACACACACAAACACAACAACACCAAGAGAGATATTGTAAAAGTAAACAGACAAACATGCAGTTGCGAACAATTTACTGGCTCTAAAACGACAACAATCGAGGCGAACGTCGAGGCTCAACAGAATACTACACAAGGGCTATTATTCTAATAATACCAATGAAGCATATCATAGACATCTCCTCGCAATATATATATTTTTCAGTGTTAGGGAAATTAAAATTAAAATCTACAAGTATTTAATTGCCCATTTGTTGATTCATTCAAATAAATCACAGATCGTAGCGTGACACGAAAAGGAACTAATTAAATTTGTATATACTTATTTACATATATTTTTATATTTTTGATATCTTTGATCTTTATAAGGTATGATATGCTAATTAATTATCTTCTTTTATTGAGGTTATGCAAAACAAAATAGACTTGGTTTTTGAGTAAACCAAAATTAAATATCTAAGAGCTCTGTAGTCTTAAAAAAAACACAACTAGCAGAAGATAAAGACCTTTTCCACATAAGGTTTCTTATATTATTATTTTTCAAACTAACTACCACGTTTTTAAGGAATGTGTTTACTTTTCTTGACACGCTCTCTTTCTGTACTTTATGAGTGAAGTCCTTGTAATCTTTTACTTTTTGTTTGCTTTTAGATCTACAAAGCATATTAAGCTACTTTAGCGGAAAGGAATAACATTTGTGACGAGCTCTTAATTTGCACTCAAATAATAAAATATATATGGAAATAATACAAAAATTAAATAATCAACTAACTCTTCTACGTTAGCAGATTTAAAATGTCATCTTCTAAGAATTCCTAATTATTGGAAACACTTTATACGAATTAATTTATTAATTTCTTCTGCATAGCTTTTAGCTGATTATTACTTTCGTTACATTTCCTCATAACATATAAAAAGAAAAATAAATAAGAATTTTCCAAGATTAATTACAAATACTTGAATTATCCCAAGAGCTCCTTCATTTTATGAAAAGCTTTGAAAGAATAAAGCGCGCTGTGATTTTTTTTTCTGCTCGGTAACTATAAGAGGTGCAAGCCTTGACTGCAAGTCCTATGTAACTCAATCGATACCAGGCCTGAAAAAGAAAACTTAACAAATTATAATTGCACCAGCGACAAGCAGTAATTAAATGGAATATTTTGACTCAAAGCTTGCGTGACTTTGAGTTAAGGGCCCTTAAACAAACACACGGAACACATCCATATACACATTTTTAAAAATTAATTTGACGCTGCCTACTTGACCTTGTTTTGAATGTCCTTGACAACTATTTAATACCAAGTTATATGTTTTATGCATAAAGGTATCTTCGTATGTGTTCATTTTTTAGGCATGACAGTTTTATTGATTTGCGCAATATGTCAATCCAATCCATTGTAATTCCAAAATTTGTTCAACGTGAAACCTGAGACCAATCGCCCAAATACACAATGGCTCAGAAACTTTATTGACTCTTTTACTGCTAGACAGTTACTCTTACATACACATACACATATATAGACGAGGCAGAAGGATCGGATACTTTACGATTGTTACACTTGTTGTTGTTACGATATTATTGTTGGAATAGTAAAACCAAGAACAACATAATTTTGCAAAGAACAATAAACTGCGAACAACATAATGTGCCCCTACACTAACAAACACACACACACAAGAAGCAAACATAATGTTGAGATTTGTTATTTCTTTCTTACGGAGTATGTAAGGGTAAGACAAAAAATACACACACACACACACATGTAGTATATATAGATATATACAGACATAACACAACACATGTCAGTCTGCATTGAAGAAAAAAATTATAGGAGAGTGGCGAGTGAAGATTGGGGATTGGGGAGCAAATTGCTAAAGTGTTGGAGCAAAGTTTTGTTTGTCAAAATGTAATAAAGTGCAAACAGCAGCAAAAATAATGTGAACACATAAAAATGCGTGAAGTTTTTATTTTTATTTGCCCTGTCTGTCTGTCTGCTCCTGGGCACTCTTTAGAAGTTTAGGGACTGGCCTTGGCGGGCACATTGTTTGTTTGGAATGTTATTTACCCTTTGAGTAGCCAAAGGAACAACAAAATGAGCGTTGACAGCGCACTTAAAGCCCTAAAGTTAAAGCTGTGCATTTGGGGCTTTGCTTATCGGGCAGCTCAGCTGAATGGTTAATTATACTTGTATAATCTTCTTAATCAGCACTTTACACTAAACAGCATGTGTGTGGCTCGCGAATCTTTAAATTCCATTCAGTCTGATCTGCCACTGTCCCCAAAGATTGTGCGGTAGCACTGATATATTGTCGAGTAACTTGAAAAGAATGCCACAAAATTAATGAGCAGTAAAATCCACGATTTATTACAAATTATTTCAAGAACACTGTGTCTGTTCTCGCATTTCCTTGTGACTTTGGAAAATTAATGGGACTTGAATTGAATGCGGCTCAATCGAGTGAAAGCGGCCACACATTAAAGTGTTGAAAAGAAGCTGTACGTTTAAGAAATAGTGCTGCAATTTCTCAAGCACAGACAGGCTTTATTTATTTTAATTCATTTATAAAACGTTAAAAAGAGTCAACATTGCACCCAAGAAACAACAATCATCTTATTTACCTTTCAACCTGAGCTCAGATCGGTGTGGACAAGCAGTGATGTATAGAAACTGAAACTACGAGATTCGTGGACCGACCTGTTAGTTAATTTGTTCATATGTTCGTATGGGCTTAGAGTTTAGGACCCAAAGGGTTCAAACACACATAAACATTGTCAACGGCCCTCGAGTTATGAAAAATGGCACACTGAAGACAATAGCTTTGTTCTTGTGCCACTTGCTGTGGCATGTGGCACTCAAAGACTGCCCTAACTGCCCGAACACCCACATCCACACACACTCCGACAAAGTTGTCTACGAACATCGCATTCAAATCAGCCTGTGGAAAAATATTCTGCATAAATAATATATATGTATATAGTACATACAATGCTTATATCCTTGAATTGAATTTGATTGTTTTTCACTTTGGGCAAGAGTCTTATTGATTTATTCGATTTTTTATTCTTTTGTTGTTCTTCGTGGTTGCATTTTCTATGGAATTTACTGAAATTTGCATACAAAACCGGCATGTGATATCCAATTAAATATACTGAATTCTGTGTCAGGGAATATCAAAACACTAAAATGATAAAACCCGTATGAAACATTGATACTCGAGGTTTTAATGTGTGTGTTTCATGTTAAATTTCAATCTCCCCCTCGGTTTTTATCTCCTACTACGAGTATACCCTGTGAAAATGTTAGTGAAAATGCGTATATACTTGTATTACTGATCAGTATAACAAGACAAGTTGATATAGCCATATCTGTCCATCTAAAAGCATAACAGAATTGGCATAACCACTTGGTATTCCTATTTCCCTAAAGTTAATATTTTTTTCTTGACGCATCCCTACCACATCCACGGTATTATATTAGGGATTTCGCACAGCTCCCGTTGTTCTTTGAACTGTTTTTGCTATTTTTAATATTAACTTAATCCTTTCCAATTTAAATTTGAATCAAATATATACAATAACTTACCTTTTAAAGCGATACCCATCTATGATAAATACTCCCGTCCTAGTTTTTTATACTTGTAGAAACGCACAGAAAACTAATCTTTCATTTTACATAAACTATAAATGTGTAAATCATTTCCCTTATTAAATTTTCGCCTTTCCCAGCTCCATCTTAGTGTTCACTTAAGGAAACTTGTATCCGTAGATGAATGAACCAAAGACAGTGTTTTGTATAAATATATTAATTAATCTAGATACATATAATTTTGACTAACTATAATATTTTGGTAAGATTTCTGAATCATTTGATTTTGTCGTAGAAATCCTACAGCTAGCGAATAGTCCGTCACCGAATCGGCCCCAGGTAGCTATTGATGACATGTCTCCCTTATTTTGCTTAAATTATCTTCCAAGAAAGGCGTTGAACATGCTAGAGTTTCTTCAAAAGAAAATGCTATGGGCAACTCACTGGGGGCGCCTGGAGATGTTGCTGCCGTGGACTGGTTATTGGACAAGTTGTGCTCTGAGGCATGAAAAGAATTCAACAGCTGCTTCTGCGCTTCCACAAAGCTCTCGGTCATGGCATTAAGGAACACCATATTGTTCTTATCTAATGCTTGAGTTACGTTGGTCACATTCCAAACATTACAGCTGCCGTTAAAATTGTTAGTAAGCGGAGCGGTGTGGTTGGGTCTAGATGCTGCGGCTGGCTGAGATATTCTGGTGCTCTGTGCCGCCGTTGTCCCTTTGTCCATCTCATAGGTGCGTCCACCTGAGGTAGCTGCCTTCACCTTTCCCTCTGGCTGCGATGTCAATTCCTTGACGCGATCCGCATAGCGTAGAGTGTTAAGCGTGTTTTCGCACGAGTGCAGGCCTGGCGAGATCATGGCTATCATGCAGGTCTTCACCTTGCGGCCTCCAATAAAAGAGTCTCGCAGGACTTGCGTTAATTTTGAGCCTCGAAAGGGTAGGTGCCGTGATTGACGGCTGAGCGCCCTAATACACTCCTTAAGTGCCAAGAGTGACTTGTTTATCTCAGCACCCTCCAGACGCGTACGCCGGCAAGCCGAACAGTTATCCGCTCCCCGCTCATTCCCCGCTAGATCTATGAGCGAGAACTTTCCATGTAATTTTCCTTTGTTGCCAACGCGCAATACAATCTGAAATATGGCGTGTGAGCGGGACGATGTCGCATTCGCTGACGTCTGGCCGGAGGTGCGTACACTGTGACCCATCTCAATGAGCTGCAAGACATCCTCTGCGTTCTCCACAGGCTTTTCGGTGAGACCTACCACCTGAACCTGCTGATGGCCATCCTCCAGCACACGTAACTGCGGCTTTCCAGGCACCAGCAAGTCCGAAACGCGCATTCCATAAATCTCAAAAAAGGAGCAGGTAACCCTCAGGCCGAGCTGTGCATATCGAGGGATGAGCAGATGGGCAAACACATCGCTTGCCGTCATGGCGTAGATGCCATCGCGGCAGTTCTGCTGCTTGCCCGTAAACTCGCCACCCATGGTATGGGTCTTGCCGGAACCCGTCTGGCCGTACGCGAAGCACGTGGCCATGCCGCCATCAAAGATGTGCTTGACTAGCGGCCTGGCCGTGTACTCGTACACGGTGGCATTCGAACACAGCTCGTTGAAGGTGTAATCGAAACGAAATTTGTGATTTTCTAAGAACTTGGTCAAGTCAACTTGCTTTTTAGGTTCATGAACCACCAGCACATCCTTAGTGGGCACCGAGATCACATCCTGCTCCTTCTCAGCCACCTCTTTTCGATTGAGCGGCCGCTTGCGCACACACACCATTATCTGGTGCTGTTTTAAGGGCTGGCCTGGACCAAGCAACGGATCGAACACCATTTGCCTCTGATGCATTCGAATCATCCTCGCAATTTCCCAATTAGGATTATCCGGATCGGCGTTCTTAATCTGTTCCCGTTGCTGCCTAGCCAACGCCTGCAGCTCTCGGCGTTTCTCACGCCTCTCGCGCATCTGATCGATGACTTGAACTATATCGGGCCGACCGGAGTTTTGGATTTCTGGCTCGCTAGGCATTGGCCGCTTACGTGGCTCTGCTATGCATTGTGGGGAACGAGCCCTTGTGTTGATATTGGAATTAGTCGGCCCAGCAAGTCGATGTATGGTAAGAGGTATGTCAGCTTCTGGAAATGGCAGCTCTGTAGCGGCAGTTTTAACATATGAGTTAGGCTGGTCGCGAATGCCAGGATCATCACTCCGCCCATTGATGGTATTCGAAGCGGGCGAAGAAGTTGTTACTGGCTGCGGGTGAAAAGCCTTGCTGCTATGCGACGGATGTGCGGAATTCGACTGCTGAAATAGCTCGGGATTCATCTGAACAACGGCGGATAGTGGCAATTCCTTGCCGCGAACTGTAGAGCCCTCGGACCACTCCACGGTGATTACATTGTTGACCCCTCCGTCCAACTTAATGATGCAAGCCTTATGGATGCGCCCATCCGAGCGCTGGATAAATACCTCTTGGTTGATCGAGAGCACATCCATCGCTCTGCTGAATGAACGGAAAAATTTCTACAACTAATTATTGAGACGATGTAAAACAAATTTTGTTTTTAACTGTTTAGAATTTTTATGTCTTTAAAACAATACAAGCCAAAAACTAAAACGAATAACCGAAACAATATCCAAAATTGTATTGATTGAGCTTGAAACAGAAGTATTTTTTGCCACATGAACACTAAACTTTGACTAACATCGAAATGTATGTACTATGTACATAGTAATGTTTTATTGGGTAAGAATTACTTCGGATAAAGTGGTACGGCAACTTAAGGAAATGTCCGTTCAATCAATTCAGAAAAATTAAAATGGAAGAATTGCACCTACTTTGTATCTCTCATAATAATTGCATTTGTAAGACCATTTAAGACCTTCTTAAATATCGCAAAATTGTGTAAGTTTGAAAGATATTTCATTCATTTTTAAAATGTTAGCCTTCCAAATATATTTTAAAAAAATGTAATGCAAAGGAAGCCTGAAAATTTTACAACGTTTTCGAGAGTAAGTAGGTTTTCTTAAGCCTATTGCATAAGCTTCCCCTTTTCCTCGCTTTTTAAAATTTGAGAATGTATAAAATTAACCAAAACGTATTAAGGCGATGCATTTTTATATCGTTACTTCATTGACTGACCTCTGATTTATTTATGCTAAAATAATATATATATATATATACATCTTAAATAACTCAGCCACCTTTTATAAAAGATACATCTATACACCACAAATAACTCAGTTAAAGAGTTATCTTTTTATCTTACTCTGTTTACTTAAGCGTTGCTCCACACATGTCGAGGGGCTATGTCAAATGCCGGCTTATTGTTAAACTTGACCCACGACAATAACTAAAACGGCCAACTACTATATAGTGCAATTGCATTTCTCGCTGGGCAAAGATAGGGACTTGCTGTGCGTGTTCGCTGTATAAAATACATAGAAAGACGGATAAATAAAGCATATAATCGGGGATGCTCAGCGTTTTTGTCCTTAGAACTGACAACCAAATTTCGTTAAAATCCAATCATAAAAAATTTTTCGCAAATCCAAATACAGTAAAAATACAACATTTGGGTCACTTTTTCGTTTATTTTATGGCAGCTTTCAAAGTTTTTACTCATTGCAGGACCGTTTCCTGTGGCTGTTTTCTCTGACTGGGAGCGACTGCAGCTGTATGCGAAAAGGTGGCAATAAAATAAATGGCAGCACTTTCAGTGTCGGGGCACACAAACACACCTACACATTAATACATAAAAGGAGGTAGTATGTATGTACAATACTTAAAAAGGGCAGACCACCAGACGCGGCACGTCGAGAACTTCATGCCGAAAAGGTAATTTGGATAGGTGGAGCCGTGAGACGAACCGAGCAACCGTCATATATCAAAAGCGAAAGAGTAAAGCACATAAACCTGCGAACGTGAGCGCACGTGAGTGCCAGGAGAGTTGCAAACCTGGGCTGCTCAGAGCCGGGCTGTCCAGGAGACTGAGACTGAGAGTGGGGCTAAAACTGAGACTGGGACTGATTGTGTGCGCTTGGATTTACAGCGAGCGAGCGACTGAGCAACCGAGAAAGCAAGGAGTTGGTTAGCAGCAAATATTTGTGGTATTTTAGTTGGCCACTGAGTGGTTTATGACTTCTTACGGCATTACTCGTTGCTCTTTTCGGTTTCGCTGGGCAGGTGGTGGACAAGCATGTGGGTTTACGTTGTTATTTCTGTTGAATTCGTTGCTGCTGTTGTTGTTGTTGTTGTTATTACAGCTTCAACTGCTGCCGTTTGTTGTTGTGGCAATAACACTTCAGCCCGCTCAAGTAAATCCAAACACTTAAACGCGCAGCTGCCACATATTTGTGCGCCGAGCTTATGCCCACAACATGTGACAGAAAGTCCCAGCCCGTTTAAGATTAATGCTGTCGCCGCTTGAGAGGCCGTTCATTGTCGAAAAATTGACGATGTTCTGTTGCCGTTTAGCGGAATGAAACATACACATGCACACATCCACACACACACACATATTCCAAATACAACACACACTATTGAATAGCAAACACAAAAACGAATATAAAAAGCTCCAGAAAAAAGTCATTTCTAAAAGGATTACGCAATGCTTTGGTGTGACACTGACGCCAACGCCGACGTCGACGACGGCGACAAGGAAAGCAATGGCACAGGCGACGTGAATGTGAAAAATGAATTGCTGAGAAATTCGCATTTTCATTTGGGCGCAGAGCACGGCACACGGCGAACAGGACCGACAACATACAAGTGCGACATATTGCCCGACGGGTCGCCTCTCCTCGTAGCCAGAGTAGAATATGTGAAAAATGAACGGAAATACCGCAACGCTGAGGCGGAAATGAAAAATGCACCTAAACCGATGCCACAAAATGCTGACGAAAGTGTAAAATCAACTGTGGTGAGATGTCTGAAGAGCATAGCCTCCTATTTGTAAGAAGTTCGCTGCTTTCCGTTCGATGACATGTTGCAAAGCTGTCAAATATAAATTACAAAACATTAACCACAAACCAAAATTTTTCAGTATACTCGTACAGTCACAAAATGCAGAAAAATACTTTCCTGACATCATTTCAATGACTATTTTCCATATATTTTCATTATGTAAATAATACCAATTGTAACACAAATTTGATCAGTCAATCATATTAAATAAAAATAGCAACAGTGTTTTCTTTTTACATCTAATTAGCTTAGCAGTATACTATATATGACATTTTATGCGTTATTCAGTTTTTCAAAATTATTATACAACCCATAAGTATTTAATAAAATACTAAACCAATAGTTGTGCGCAAATTCCCTTTCAATTTCACTGATCACAAATTTAAATGAAGATATTTTTCAAAAATTTACTTCGTTATTCTTTTTTATAAAGTCATATTATTTCTTGTATCTTTACTTTAATATATTCACAATACATAAAGTCTTTAAGTTAAAGTCGAAATATTAGCGGAATATTTTATACGGTTATTATTGTTTCATTAAAATTATGAAAATTATACATGAAATAATAATAATAATATGATTGTAATAAAGAGGGTTTTACAAATACTATATGCATACATACATATACCAACATATCGACTAAAATATTTTTACGATTTTAAAAATATATTCCTTAGAAAGGACTTTCTCTTGAAGTATTATAATGATTACTTTCTTGTATCTTAAGCATTTCTTTTTCTTGTAAACTGAAAGTATTGCATATAAAATAATCACACTTTAATCACACTTTGTAACAAAGAATGAATCAAAACATACTTGCAATTCTATTAAATTTTCGACTCGATTTGTTGATTCAAATTAACTCAAGAGCTTAAAATGATATGGAAGAACATATTCGTACCTTTTTAGCACATTAAATTTAAATCAATACTTATAAATAGACTTAACAAGTGGAACAGCACTCACTGCTTAACCCCAGAACTGCCAACCACTTCCCATTTCCCAAAAATCCAATTTAATTGAAAACCAATGTTCTTACATAGTTTATGCTGAAAATGCGATTAAACTAATTTCACACACCACAAAACAGATGACAAAGTCAACGAAGGGACAACAAAAGGGTTTCTCATGTTCGTATCCTGGCACATCCTGCTTGTGGCGGCCAGAACAAAACCAAAGCTGACAGCCAAATCACTAAAGTAGCCAAAAGTTGTTGAGGAAAACTTAACACAACACACACACACACACTTATAGTCATAGAAAGAGGCAGATACCCTGTGGAAAAGCCACTCAGTCAGGTGTTAAAACTAATTTACAACAATTTGACCAACAAACGACAATGGGCCAGGCCACATGTAGTGCTGCAGAAGGGCGCGCACATATTTCACACGATATTCCTTATGGCCATTCACTTATGAGAAGGGTTCGTTGGAAACCGCAGAGCAGTGAAGTGGGGGCACTTCAAAGTTCTGAGACTGCTTCTCACATCCGTGCGAATTTATTTAAGTATGTATGTAAGTACTCGAACATATTGAAGTAGCAATTGCTGCTGATTTCTAAGCAGTAGAGTTCGACCCAAAGGCTAAGCTCATGACTTTTAAATGAACATTGGAAAGTTGCGATTCATTCACTAACTGCCGCATCATCCACAAACAATTAGCAGCACGATGCCTAATTAAGCGAGCCAAAGATGAAACGCCCCAAAGACTTAATAGGGCCAAGTACCAAGTGTTTAGTCACCACGTAAGATTTGCCTTAATGATTGTTTAAGAGAATTTCCGGGCGAAATAATTAGTCTTTATTAACGCACCTAGGGTGCCTGTCGCCTTTGTTGTGACAAAATTAATGTTTTATTTGAATGAGTAAGTGAATGCGTGCCTCCTTTAATTCTGCATGCAATCCAGCATATCCCGACTGTTCTTCTTGCTACACAAGCACCTATAACAGGCTGCATCGATTACCAAACCCTTGTTAATTTTACCCAGTTCGCTCCTATATTCCGCAAGATCTCTCAAGATCAAGCTCCGCATCTGAGAACGGCGTGCCTCACTGGCCACCGACTGCAAGCAGCGAAGCTCAAACGTGATTGGCCTCAAAAGTGAAGCCAGGGGCGCAGAGCCACTTGGCTCTGCATTGCCAAAGCAGTTAACCCATTCAGATACTCTATTGTGTGGATAATTAATTAGGCTCATTTGCAAACACCACAAAATACTTACAAGTTTGGCATCTTATAGGAAGTGTAGGATGTGGAAGGTTCCAAAAATTATCTATCAATTCGCAAACAAAACAAGGGAAAGCGTGTGTAAATTTCTGTGATTTTCACCCAACAATGTTTAAAGTTGTAATGAGTTTAAAATCAATGTAAATTTAGGATAACTAAATGATCAAATAACCAAATAATTAAGTTCACTTCATGGGAACCATAAAGAAGAATAAGCAGTGATTAAGGGGGAATAACACAGATGAATGAGTTGCTATAATGTATTGTCTGCTTCGCTAGCAACAAATCTAAGCAAAAATATATCACACGTTATGCAAAATAAGGAGTTAATAACTTAGCATATAAAACTTCTTATTGATTGAATTGTATGGAA